ATGGTTATATGGAATCTTACTTAATTCAATAATCAATATGAAACAGTCTAGAACCAATAAACCATACCTATTCCATAGTTAGTTGTGCAGAATATATATAAACAGCACTTTATATAGTGTATTGCATTAAAAAACTCAAAAAGTCTAATTCATTAACCAAATGGCATCAAGAAACAAACCCATCATACAACCAAACCCTTCAACAAACCCTTCATACACAAATACAATTAAATAGCAGAACGAAACATACCATTAATTTACAACACCTGTTTTAAATTATACTTTTATATGTTTTGTTAGTACACAAACCTACCTAAAATTTTGAAAGTAATGACCAACAAATTTAACACCCACAACACCAAGCCAAATATACAATTTTTCAGGGGTTTGTCTGTGGTGCTTATCCAGTGAGGATTAGCATCAGTCCAAAATTTGCAATTATGCCGGTTTACGTTCTCGTTTAACATAAAAGCTGCTTCGTCAGAAAACACTATGTTACTTGGTCTGATTGGGTTGTTGTCAAGGTTTCTCATAATTATTTCTCCGAATTCAATTCGCCGATCAAAGTCATCTTCTGAAAGTTCCTGGTCAAATAAATTTTAAAGGGTTTAAAATCACTATTATGTAAGATTGGAACCACAGATTTTTGGGAAATTTCTACATTTTGGGAGATTCTGTTTAAGGGAAAATGGGCATTTTCCATTACTGACTGCAAAACATTTAGTAGCAAAGATTTAATTTCCTTAGTAGTTGTTTTTGGCCTCCTCGATCTAGGTCTGTTTTTTACAGTAGCAGTCTCTTCAAAATGTTGAATATTTTTTTGTACCCCTGATTTAGTTATAGGATTGCGGTTTGGAAACAATTCATTGAACAACTGCACAACCTGTTCATAGAATCTTGTTCGATCGCCATAACCTCGCATCATTGAAATAGTAATTCGTTCCTGTTCACTTACCTCCATTTTACAAAAATTAAAGCTGTACAACAGAATATCTATGTGAAAAACACACAAAAGTACAATAAACACTGATAAGGCGTACTAAAATGTAATGTACTGAAATGTCCGCACGAGAGATTAATTGCCGCTCGAGGTAAAAACGTGTGGCAAAATTTTTTTATCTGGGCAATGACTTTAGGCTCGCAATATGGAAGATTATCCAACCAACAAAATTAAAAGCGTAACATTTAAAAGAATTACAACAAAAAATAACACATGTTGCATGCATGGTTATGTACATGCTGCGTTAACTTGTACTCTGTGGCCTACTGCTATAGCAGTAGTGTGCTACCCTGCCAAATTTTGCGCAGGTGTCTGAGCCCAGCACTCGGCCAGGGACACTGTTATTGTTGCCAGTCTGTAGCTTAGAATACGAGCTTTATTCTGGTGTAGGTTGGTACTAAAAATTCCTGTAAAATCCCGTCTGTCAATGCTGTTGTCCCGGTTTAGGGGATTTTCTCTATTCGAGCCATATTACAAAGACACTGGTTATTGATCCAGGCAGTGCTGCTACCTTTGGGTGTTTCAGTGAACTACGTCATAGAAAACATACTACTATAACCCAGAATGCCAACCACATGGTAAAAAGTGTTAAGTACTTTGAGAGAGCTTTGCCTGTCAATTCGTAGGCAGCGCCACCAGTGTTGCTATGCTGTGGTGACACTGCCTACGAATTGACAGGCAAAGCTCTCTCAATGTACTTAACGCTTTTTACCATGCGGTTGGCATTCTGGGTTATAGTAGTATGTTTTCTGTAACTACGTCCACTTTCGGAGTAACACAGAACAATCACCACTGCTCTTTGTGATTGGTCTTGCTGAGATATTTGAATGCGAATTGCGATCGCTGATTCAGTAGCGCGCCAGGGCTCCGCTTGGGCCTCGCCACAGTTTTCGAGCGCCTGTGTAAAGGTTTTCAGCAGCGAACGTGTTAACTCACGAGTTAAAACAACATAATAGGGTAATGTAAAATATTTTAACTCACTGTTTTCTTCTACAGAGATTTATAAAACTACACTACGATAAAACAAACTATTAAATTACCTAATTAAAAATCAAACTCAATAAATAACGAAAACATTCAAAGTAATATCCAAGGAATAGTATTAGCTTGACCGAAACCACAATAACAAATAAGTGTTTTTAACACCAAAAATGAAAACTCCTGATATTATGTAAATACTGTAATCCCATGTATGGGATTAACGTGCGGTAGGTAACTAAAACGTAGAAGTCAGCTGTTTTATACTCAACCGAACTATAGTCAATTGTTAAAATAAGAAATCGAATACTTGTTGAACTCAAAGAGTTCCAAGAGAGTACTTTCCATCAGCAACCGCAAATTTGTTTACAAGAATGGGTTTTGTCCATGGTCCAGTGAGAACACTTTGAGCATATGTTGTAAAATTTATCAAATAGCTACTTTACGATTTAATCTTAATGAATAAAAATAACCCATTTCAAATTTTAAAATGGCTACCATTTTGGTAAAAGGTGTGATATCCACGTCTGGGTTGTGCCATTTAGTTTCTCCAGATAAACCCTTTAAAAAGAGGAGTCACTCGATTTACATTTGTAAATTTGGGGCTGCCTCCAAAATACCCCATTTTGAGGGCCGGGGCAAAGTTTTGACTTTGATGAAAAAGAGCAGTTTTTAACGTTGTAAACATGTGACGAGTTTGGATTTCCTACTGCAACATATTTTTTTTTGTGTTTCTATATTTTCATCAATAAATAAGAAAATATTTTAATAACTACTACATTTCAACTCTAAGATATCTACAGTCGATTTCATTACCAGGTATGTAAATGTATTAGGTGTATCGGTAGCGTCACAGACTTCGTCACAGCGATGTTGTGGGTTCGGATCCTGGTCACTGCCGCAAACATTTATCAGTACAGTTCACCTTCGTACTGTATCGGCTCACCCCTTGCTTTGCTGGATACATTCCATGCACGGGCAAATAGTCTATGTAGACGGGCAAATCCTAGACCACCGACCTCTTAAAAAATATATATATACATATTATAAATATAATCAAGGGTTCAAATTTGTAATAACTGCACTACTAAATTAATAAGTTAAAAGGGAACCCGATACTTGGGACAACTTACTAAATTGCATGCTAACTCCGACTGACGTTCCACTCCGCTTCGTGCCATCGTTCCTCATTGATGACGTCACTCAGCAGCGCATGCAGCGCATGCAGTAATATGTGCAGCCAACCACACACACAAACTCAATAGTCTTCTGGCAATGTAATATAGCCTTATATATTACATTAGAATGAAATATCAAAACATAATCAAATTCTAAACTGAGTAAAATGAGATTCATGAAAGTTGTTAACTGTTACAGTAGACCCCCTCTTAACCGACCTCGTATTAACCGATAATCGGATTATCCGCCTTCGATCGTAAAATAATACAATTTGTTTTAACCGACTTTGATTTGAGAGCAGCTCGGTTTAACCGCCGCTTTCTAGGAATCTCGGCATTTCCGCTCCCACGCTGGGCGATGAGAACTGAACCATACGCTTATCTCCACAGGATATGACTAACAATAAGCTATTTTGTGTTGAGCACAAAAAATATAGCATAGCCTATTGTCAGTTTGTCATTATCGTTCGTAGCTCGAGCACATCTGATCTGATTTGTTATCTGTGCGGCAAATTTATAACATCATAAAGTGCGTTACGATTTTGAGAACTGATTATCTTATCGCCGGAGTAAACAAACAAAGCAACTTGTAAGGAAGGCAGGGAAAGGGGGTTAACAACTCCAAGGTCAAGATAGTTTTTGTGCCTGGAGCCTCCAGTGAGAGGCTATAAATAAACGTCCTGTGTTGCAACAAAATGGTCGCTTGTATCTTTAATGTCGACAAAAGGTTCTGTACTGTATTACGATGTATTTGGAAAGCATCAATTAATACATTACAGTATTAAAGTTATTAAAATAGGAATTTTATTGACTCTTGCCTAGTATTATAATAATATATTCCACTGAAAGTAGGCCTATTTGACTTCACTGTGTTTTGTGTTTATTTGTGACTGTTCTATCAACATGAAAAAGGAGATAAGAGTAGTTTATTTTATAAATAATGCAAGTATGACTTCAAAATAATGATTATATAATTCCAAATAAATAGCACTTCATTATGTTATGACTTTAGGGATTGCCCGTTTTATCCGACCTTTTGAGTTATCCGACCTAGGTCCAGTCCCATTAGGGTCGGTTAAGAGGGGGTCTACTGTATTGTGCTTGTTTACAGCTGTTTAGAAAAAAAAAATATAGCTGCTAATCTGGAAAATTGTTTTTGGAAGCTGGGACTATCATTCAATTTATCTTCACTTTCTGACTTTTATTTTTTACAGTTTTATATTGATTTAAAACATTAAAAGTCGTTGTTATTGAAGCAATATTTGAGATGGTTGGGCAAGCAATAAAACCATACTTTTTTCATAAAGGATTAATGTGTCTTCAATATAATTCTGTAAAAAGAAATAACTACACCTCCTAATACCATTAACAAAAATAGGAAAAAATATGTGGTGTTAAACACAGGTGGGAAGAATAGACACCAGGGGATGGCAGTCTCAGGGGCTGGGCCCAGGTCCAACAGCTAATAAATATGTGGCAACGTCACTCCCCCACCCCTTCCGAGCCAGCTACTTTACCAGTCCTATTGTGCAATCTATTTATCGTGGATTTTGATATATTGACGTTCATTTATCAAGTTCTACTTTAGCTGATTTGGAGTTGAGTCAATAGAGGTGTTAAATAATTGAAACAGTATTAGTCTTTTAAACCTTAACACACCATCTTGTTCCATCACATACCATCTTGTTGTGATCACTAAATATTATTAGAATGTTGTAATAACCAGACTATTCAGAATTTGGGTAACTTCATTTATTACTATGATAAAAATGTTCCTAAATACAATATTTATCGTTGATATTATTTATCCTACTGTAATGAATTATCCCTATTGTTGATTCTAGTTCAATCGATGAGATTGTTTTGAACTACGTCGTGAGCATTCTTGAAGATTTGGCAGAGGAGAACAGTGGGGAGGTGGAAGATGCCTTTGATGCCGAAGGGTTTTGTGAAATGATGGCTGCCTACGTCCCAGAATTCGCACAGATTCGAATGCCTCAAGTTTGCTCATGGATGTTTGAGCTAGAAGCCTCCCTTAGGAAAGTAAAGGAAGATGGTGAGTAGTACACAAGGGGCTTTAGACCTCTCACAGAAACAATTATTCAATCAAGGGTTTTGATCTGGTTCCATAACATTATACTTCAATTTGAAATATATTGATGAATTATTTGACGTTTTATTAGTTTACTGCATTTTGAGTATGGAATCCATTTTGACAGATTTTGAAGTTTCAGAGATTTATAGAAACAAAAATTACAAAATATGGTAGAGTCCAAAGATTAAATAGCTTACAGGAATGCGTCTGAGTCTGATATGATATGAGCAATTATCTTGCCATTTATAATTTTGTCAGTAATTAGAAACCTGAGTTCTAGTGATATCTTGCAATGTTATCACATGCATAATGGATGCTGATAAAGCATAGTCCTTTGTTTTGAAATATTCCTATTACTGAGGCATGTGCCCACGTTTTCTGTGATTAATGTGAATAGTCTATATACAATAGTAACGTGTGTATACCCCAGGACTTCCTCGAGGCTTATCCATAGTGACTTTAGGTGGTGTAGTTCAGGAGTTAAAATTACATTTTTAATACAAATAACCAACTTTAATCTTAACTCACAAATCATACAAATGAAACAAAGATCACAAATTATAATAAAAACTAGAAGGTTGAGTAGCCTGGATCAGTGCTAATTATCCAATTCAATAGAAACCCAAAAAGGACAAATTACTGTAAATGTGTGTGTGTGTGTGTTTTGAAAAACCTAAAGAATATCTCATTTGATGAAACATCTCAACTCCAGCCTTCCAACACACCTCACAAAATGTACATTATGGTGTATATGACTCAAATCAAATTTAATTTATTTCCACGACAGTTTTACAAAACAAAATAACAAGTTTTTCAAAGATAAAATACAATGACAATAATTTGAGAAGCATTACATAAATTTATTTATTAAAATTTAAGTATAGGCCTAAACTTAACTAAAAGAACCTGTAAAAGTTTAAATAAAACTAAAAGGCATTGCTCCAATAGCAATAAATGACTTTGGAAATAGTCTACATAGACCTCATCGGTCTGTGCACAAACTCAAGTTTTAAAAATTCGTGCATTTTTTTAATTTTTGTGCCAGATTACTTAGAAAAAACTTCATTGTTGCTGTTGGAAACATTTTTATTTTAAAATAATTTAAAACATTAATAATTATAAACAAAGTAAGTATAAAGTAGGCCTACCATTACAAAGTATTGTTCATTTAGTGTTAGATTTACTTAAAACCTTATTTTGCAGTAGACTCCCCCTATTCTGTACGGTACGCTAAGTCGCTAAGGAGCTACCCTTGTTTAGACCATCAAAAGTGTTGTGAGCAAGCTTTAGATTTGACATGGGAAATTTTTATTTAAAGGTCTTAGTAAGTTAAATATACAACTCTTGAAAGTTTGCTACATTTATTATTAGTATGAAACTACTATGTTAATTTTCCACCCAAAACTAAGCCTTATAATTTGACATTACTTAAACCTAATTGATCACAGGTGGGAGAATCACTAGCCTTGACATTCTTTTCTTGACATTCATTTAGGCTGTGAGCAAAGTAAAAGAATGAGAGGGAGTCTACTATAATGGATTGACAATGGTGTTGTTTGCAGGTCGTAATCAGCAGGAGAGGGACCTTGCAGATCTGCTGCGACCGTTGACATTGGCAGATGAAACTATCATGCTCAAGACAAACCGCAAGCACCAGATCAGCGAGACTAGTGATGGTAGCAGCTACGGATCTGATAGTAGCGGTGATTACACCTCCACCGAGGTAATTCCTCAGCAACACATTCATATCTTGACTCGAACCACAGAGTTCTAGGTTTAGCGGACTCACCACCGGGCAGGACCGTGTGACACCATACCCACTTGCATTGCTGTGTGCAGTGTGAGGTTAACTTTTGTTTGGGGACCCAGTAGAAAAAAAAAACAATAACAAAATCTTTATCAATCATTAAGTAACATGCGTTACAATAGATTTTGTCAAATTATAATATGGTACTTGCCATCAAAACATGACTAGGTTTACGGTATGAATGACATTAAACTTTACAGACAATAAATTGGTCAAAATACAGCGACTCTTCTGTTGGAACTGAATTCAAGCATTTGACACTTTTTTTCTTTGTGTGCCTTTAAAAGACCACATTTTGTCTATCGGCGGTCTACCCCCAACCCCTCTCCTCCGGCCTGCAACACGGCAATGTGTATCCTCCCCCTTGTTTTAGTCCTACTGGTTGGTCACCATGTCAACAAAGATAAAACTTCAATTTTTACTGCTCTATTTACATTCACTCTTTTTGCATTTCAAAAAATATAATTTAGTATCTTGAATTAAAAGAGAAAAATATTACTACCTATTCAACCACAAAATATCCTGAGGACATGCAGTTCTTGTTTATTTAATTGTTAGAGTTTATTCACTTTATTTTAGTTATTATTCTTTTATATAACCTTTTGAAGTATAATATAAACCTATGACACGATTCAAGTACATACGTATATATGTAAATTTGAATGGAGAGTGTTTTTTTTTTTTATCTGGGGACATAAAAATAAAAAAGTAGATTAGTCCCGGGTCTAGATCACTGTGGGATTAGATTTTTTTAGTTTAACATTTTAATTTTAACTTATAATTTTTTTGTAATTGTTTTATGAGTTAGAAAGGCTAGGCTCCAAGGACTCTAAAGGGACTTGACGTCACATCTACAAAATGAAATAACAAACGATTAGGGTGCTTGGTAAACATGTGTTTAAGACAGAATCCATGCTTACTTGTGCACACAGAATCCTGCCCTGAACAACATGAGCAACAAAAACCATGAAATTAAACCTAAATTAAATAATAATAAATGTAACTTCTTGAACAATCTGGAAAAGAAATAGAGTGTTATCGTAATGCTCTAGACTTACCAGTGCTCGGATCTTTTTGTATTTATCAACTAACTCTTGCTTAGTGATTGTTCTTTGTAAACCAGACATTACAATTGCTACTAAGCTATGTTTGTATTTTGATCATTATGGACTGGTGAACTCTGGCATGTTATATGTGTATGATTGTAATATACATACATGGTGTTTTTTAACGCAACCCAAATGGTTGTTACAACTACCGTGAGGCACTTTTTAGCAACAATACCAGCTCACAGATGGGATCCCTGTTTTCTGTGATAATATGCATCGTTCCAGTTCTATGAGGTTTAGTGTTATTGATAATTTATTGTAAATAAGAAATATGGGCTCTATTTCATGTTTAAATAGAGCTTGCGAAAGTTGAGACTTATTCAATAAGATTCAATAAGATTTATTGCAGCCATTAAACATAACATTTTGTAATAGGCATTGTTACAATAGTACTTAAAAATAGATCATACATCAATTATAAATTTAAATATATACAATATCCTATTTAGAATCTAAACTAAACATGACATGTCACTATTTAAAAATTCTTCCTGCGTGTAGAATGCTCTTGATTTAAAAAACTCAGTAATTTTTCTTTTAAATTGGTTTAAAGGTAGTTCACGAAAACAAGTGGGTAGCTTGTTGAAGAAAATATGTTGATTGTAAAAATGGCTATTTAAAGTTTTTGAAAGTCTGATTTGAGGTGTGACTAGGTTGTTTTTGTGCCTCGTGTTGTATGGATGAGAATAGCTAGAAAATTTTAAGGGGTTGTTTTTTATATGAATTAAATTACAAAGAATGTACATAGATGGCAGTGTAAGTAAATTTAAATTGGAAAAGTGATCCCTACAGGATTCATGATCTTGCAATCCTAGCATGGCTCTAAGAGCTTTCTTTTGCCAAACAAATGCTTTCTGAGCTAAGTGTGAACCACCCCAGAGACGCAAACCATAAAGCAGCTGTGAGTGAAACAAACCGTAGTAAGTCATTACCAAAGTGTTAAAACTCACACATGATCCAAGTTTTCTCAAGAGACAGGTTATTCTAGCCAATCTTTTACAAAGTTGTGTAATGTGGTTATCCCAGCTTAGTCTGTTGTCGAGATGGATGCCTAAGAGTTTGACTGTTTTATAAGCATCAGTGGGTTGATCTTTTTTTAGAGAAAAGTAGATGTATTCTGTTTTTTCCTCATTGATAGCCAAATTATTGATTTTATACCAGAATTTAGCACAGTTTAGGGCATGATTAAGATCGTACTCAACTGTTAAAACATTATCATCTTTACAGAACAGGGTAGTATCATCAGCATAAAGTATTGATTGAGTAGGGATATTAAAACTAAAGTCGTTAATAAAAATCAAAAACAGGAAAGGTCCTAAAATGGACCCCTGCGGAACACCAGCATTCAATTCTAAAATATCAGAATAATCATCTCCTATCACGACCTGCTGTTTACGGTTTTCCAGGTAGGATTGAATGATGTTTAGTTCACGGTTCCTAACCCCATAGTAATACAGTTTATCAAGAAGAATGGGATGGGAGATTGTGTCGAAGGCCTTGGTCAAATCAATAAGGCATGTACCATTGTACCTGTCACCAACTTGTCTTCAAACCCTTGCAAAACTTGGTTAATTAATTCTTCTACAGCCATTGTGGTTGAACAGTTGGCTCTAAAGCCGTATTGACCTTTATATAAAAGGTTATTCACAGTAAAAAAGTGTTGAAGCTGCTCAAGCATACATGATTCAATTATTTTTCCTAAAATTGGAACCAAAGCTATTGGACGATAGTTTGATGGGACATTCTTGTCGCCTTTCTTGTGAATTGGCGTTACTCTGGAGGTTTTTAAACAATCAGGAAACTTTCCTTCAATTAAAGCAAAATTTATAAGATGTGTTAAAGGTTCCAGGATAACATTAACTATGTATTTAAGAGTAAAATTGGAGAGTCCAAACAAATCTTCATTCACAATTCACAATACATTTCCAATAACACTAACACTCTTAGATAGCTGGAACGATGCATATTAGCTGATGAACATTGAAATAAAGAATACAGGGATACCAAAATGTGAGCTTGTTTTGTCGTATGGTACAGTACTTGTAATTTGAATTGCGTTAAAAAAATACCCTGTATTTTAGTTACTATAATGCTAAATCATGCTAAGTCATTTTATTTTATTTTGTGTGTGTTTCCTCTTTGTTGTGTTTAAAGCGTTGTTTGTTTTTAATGGCTACATTGTGTCTGAATTCAAGCACATGTATGCAGCTTAAAAAGTTTTTTTTTCATACTAATTCCTTGTGTGAATGTAAATTTTATCAGAAATAAGATGTTATGTGAAATATTACTCTTCACAAGATAGTTAACAATCTTATTTTTAAAATCATACAACAAACCTTTTCACAAAATGTTGATTATTTTTAGCAATTAATAAAGAATTGGAAGTATTATGTAAATAAGTAATTTTTGTATATTATAAACTAATTTCAATACAATATTAGATCCCAAAGTTCTGTCAGTATAACCATTGACTATACACAGAGTAGATTTCCCATGTGAAAGGTTGAAGCCAAGAAAATACATGAAGTTCAGGACCATCTCACCAGGGTTTACTAGTGTATTAGGTTAAATATTAATTAAAACCAATGCAGTATCATAGCAAACAAGCAAACAGCTGATGATTTATCAGTTAGCTAGCACAGAATATTGTAATTAGTTAATAGACCATCTCAACAGATTGCACCACATTTTTTGGGCTTCAAATTTTTACATTTCATGGGAAGTCTCTTCAGTGCATAGTCAATGGTATAACAATTTTTCTCCACAACGTTTATTTGAATATAATAAGCTTGTTAAAGTCTTAACAATTTTCCCCCTAAATATTGTTGTACAATTACCCTCTTGTATGTGATTAGAGTAAGTAAAAATATGCCTTTTAGGTGTTGATAAAAGTTTTTATATTTTTAACTTAATCTGTTATTATACAACAGTTATCACAAAATTAACTTTTAACCCTGCTGATGTTTAGGAGAACACAGACGTAGCTACTTTGATGGAAACATTCCCTACAGTCTGTGAACAAGAGGTTCTCCAATGTCTGGCCATAGCTAAGGGAGATCTCACCAAAGCCGCTCAGCTTATCTTTGATCGTCAAGAGATGGGCGAAAGTCTCCCTACCACTTCTGTACTGCAAGTCAACAACCAACACCAGAAGTTTGTTGTGGATGACCAGGAGCTCAAGAACCGGATCATTCAGCGTTACTCGTTTGTCGACAAAGACGATGACGTTCGTGAACACCGCCCTGTAGCTCCCAAATCTGTGAGTTTTACAGTTTATGTTTGTTATTTTTACTCTTAAGCTCCAAACACAAACCATCAAACATATACAGTACATCCCCACTAATCCGTCACTTACAGGACTAGGACCATAATCGGAACTGTGAAAAGGTCGGATTATCTAAGGGGCATATTAAATGAACATTGCTTAACTGATTTGCTTAATTGATCGCTGAAGACGATAATATTGTTCTTGTGACTGCGGGATACGTTTATATTTTGGCATAATCGCATGGGATGACGATGATGTTGCTTTTGTCATAGGAGATATATTTAAGGAGATTGACGTGATTGCAGATAACCATGATCGCTGGAGTCGATGATAAGGTTGTCTTTGCCGCAGGAGATTCATTTATTTATTTATTCATATCAACGGTCAAACCAATACATAAATATGACAAAACGTAATATAACTCGAGTTAAAAGGGACACTTTTAAAAGCAATTTACAGCCAACTTGAACTGCGGACACTTCCGTGACGATGATAATGTATAAACAGTTGCATGAGATGTTCATGATATTTCGGCGATCGCGCATGACGACGGTGACGGTGACGAATGTGACACGGGTGCGGGAGATGATAAGATTTTTGCCGTTATTAGAAGACAACGATAATGTCTAGGCCTACATCACCATGGGATATGATCATGTTTATGCCGCAATTGCGCAAGACAACTATATTGACTTAACGACCGCAGCAGATGTTCATGATTTCTCCCGCGATCGCACAAGACGACAATTACGTTTCCGTGACTGCAGGAGTTGGCTGTGATGTTTACACGCCCGCGGGAGTAGATCAGATTTTTGCCGTGATCACGAAAGACAATGATGATGTCTATATGACCATGGGACATGATCATGATTTTGCCGTGATTGCGCATGACGACGATGGCATTTCCGTGACCGCGGGAGGCGATAATAATGTTTAAACGGCCGCAGGAGATGTTCATGCCACATCTCCTGCTTATTGACGGTGTTATTCTCTATTAACAGGTGTAGGGGGTGTTGCTAGTTCTGTGCCTCCAGCTTTGATTCCTTCCGATGCAATAGATTCCCCCCCTGGGGCTTAATTATTTGTTAATTCCTTGATTGACGTTTGAATTGTTGGGTATGGGACCATTGGATCTACATTCTGGTACACTTCCTCCTCATCTCCTTCTTCAGACTGTCTTACATCAAAAGATCTTTTAAATTTTCCTGCCATACTTGTAGTTCTTCTTTGCTCTGTACCACCAGTTAGTTGTCTTGATTTGTTTTTAATTCATGGCATTGGGCTGTATCCCTTTCTAAAAAGTCTTATTGATCGGTAGAAGTCTCTACTGTTGTCTGCTGTCCTGTCCTGTTCAGCTTTCTCTAAGATTTTGTTTACCCATTCTCTCTTTTTACTCCAAAGTACTTTTACTGTCTCTCTTAATATTTTTTTTTAATCTTCTCTATCTCTTTTTTGTTTCTTATTGACCCAGACTTATTTTGCTTTTTTGTTCTTCTTTTCCTTTGTAATACTTTATTATCTTGTGTTTAAGGAGCCAAAGAAACTAGTGCGATACAGGGACAGCAAGATCGTGAGCATGAAGGGGGAGAGGTACACTGAGGTGAAGAAGGACGATGAAGAGGAGAAGAAGTCTGGCTCTGCTGGCCAAAAGGCGGCGAGGCAGAATAGATTCCATTGATGACACGCAATTGAGATGGCAGCAGTTGTCATAGTAAGGTCCTGACGGCTGCTGCTCTCCCATCCCCCTCCCTAGTCCTGCAATCCTAGTCCCTGGAGCTGCCATTCATACAGACATAAAGAGCTCGATCACCTCCACACTCTGCTCATAAATCCATACAGACTCTTAGAGTGTAAATATTGCATATACATGAATCGATATTTATCTAATTATTATCGATTGTAAATAAGTTGAGCATAATTGTGATAAAACTTGAAGTGATTGTTTACAAAAAAAGATTTATGAGAGAAATCTATTGTTTTTTTTTTTTTAGTATTTTATTTAGTGGAGTTTTACCATTGGTTTCTGTGTTTATGGATATAGGTCTATATTTTGATGGCATATGTACTTATTTCATACTAGCTTTGTACTACACATTTTACGAAAAGTAAATAAAAGAGACGTCTTATAACACTTAAAACATATATTTACGCTTATACTGTTACTCACAAGACGGTAAATATACAAAAAAGATGGGAAGTGGTGATCGATTTCGATTGGACATCGTCTTCAGACCCAATAGGCGAATGACAAGAATCTTGAATGGACGTCTCTTTTATTTACTTTCCGTAAATTTAATAACACGTATAATGCTGATCAAGAAGTTATTTACACATTTTAATAATCAAAACCCACTCTAATACCTTTCTTGTAGAAGAAAAAACTAAGTAATCATTAAATTTAATGTTATTTAAATAGGTAATCAATCTGACTGATTGAGTCTTATTAGAGAAATATTTTAGTGAAAATCAAATCAGGAAAGAGGAAGATAGCTTGCAGTATTGTTGCAGTGGGGGTGTTTTATTACATTTTTATTCGTCAAACTTTTGTTACCGTACTTTTACATTATTTATCACAAAACATTTTCAACTCAATTTAGTCAAACAGGCTACTTAATCCGCCAGCTTTAAGTAGGTCATGGGCAGAGTGGGAAGTGAGGAAACTCCTCATTTCTGTAAAGGATTTTAGCCCAGGCTCACTGTACCTAACCCACCATACTGTTAATAGCCTATCTTATCAGTGTTCCAAAATGTCAATGTCCAAACATCCCAGTCCATGTATTCATCTGTCACTCCACTCATAGATGAAATTAGGTAAGTCAACTTACACCCCAAGTTGCTAATCCAAACCACTTTTTTGGGGAAAAAATTATAAATATTTTGTTGTAATATTTTGATGAAATTTTACTGCATTTTAGGCTAATCCAAACAAGGTCCGGTCCCAAATTGATTGAAATAGACAGACCAGGGTTTAAGGTTAGCTATAAAAATATGTTGTTTGCACATTAAATATACAACTTGCAAATAGATGAATTTTCAGCTGGCAAAGATAAACAGTGAACATTGTTTATCCATCTATTTTTTTGGGAAACTTGTCCATCACTATCAAAAAGATTGTACATAGGTACCCAGGTTTCTTCGTAGGGTTATGTTTTATAAACATTTTCTATCAATAATCTTTCAACAAATTTCTATAATAGGCAATAAGCTTTTACTATAGGTACGTAGGTAACATGTTAAGTCCTAAACCCGGGACCGATTTTAGTAAATTTCCCATATAGGGGATTAGCGAATTTCCCATCGGCCTATAGGAAATATTAGCAAATTTCACATATAGAGAATAAGCTATTACCTTAGATCTTATGGTAACACCTATTCCCCCTGCCACAATTTTTAAATTCAAGTGGATTTTTTGATGGAATCGCTTGTAATCATTTATTTTTACTCATCACATTACATAAATTTGCTTGACAGATGATTTGGCATTTAGTCAACAGTAATAATACCAGGTGGTCAGAAATTATTGGATACATTTTAAGATTAAATTAAATAAACCAAACAACTTAGAAACATGGGAATGGTTTAATTAAATAGCAAATTTAAAACAGTTTTTATCATAACAATTTAAAAAAATGATTACTGTTTCATGATTACCATTAATCTAATTTAACTATTTCTACGAGTTATCCATGGTTTGAACGCAAAGTTTGTAGTCTGATTTCGACCTCAGACCATGTTCTTCTTCGCATTGCTGGAGTTATGCTTCCAATAACTTCTCCAATTCTTATTTTAAGTTCCTTAATTTCTTGAACCTTCTTTGCAAACATTCTTTCCTTGACGTAGCCCCATAAAAAAGTCTAAGGGTTTAATGTCTGGAGAACAAGTAGGCCAAGAAATTGGACCATCCCGTCCAATTGAACGACCGGGAAAATTGTCATATAGGTATGTGCGTACTATTTTACCCAGTTTAATATTTGATTAGAAAGGACCATTGTTGTTGTAAGACTAGATTACTTACGTCAATAGCTCATTGAATCGTGAATTTCACTTCATGTTTCAGTACATGTTTCGACACATTGTCATCATCAGCTGAGTACTAACTAGTGAAGTTTTTATTCACCATATGGTTTCGTCATTGTTCAATTAAATAAACATGTAACACGAAACACGAATACGACACGACACGAAACATATACATTTACAACACGTAAAGCTTTAAGACATGCAGGCCTCTCGAACAAAACATACGGTCACGCCGCGGGTCGGGGACAGACTGACTATTTGTTTATCCAGGCTTATCATATCATTGTTATCTCGGAGGCAGTGGGCAGCTGTTTCTTTGGTAGGAATGATAGAATTGAATATCGAGTTGGAGCTGAAATTTAGTTTTTCGTTCAGAACAAATCATTTGTGTCGTTATTTTTATAAGCTCTGTAGATTTCGTATTCTTCTAACGTGTCCAATTTTCTGCCTTTTTCACAAATGTGGAGTATTTCTAGACTGTCTTCTATCGTTCCGAATGAGTGGTTATTGTCGATTATATGTTGGCTGAATGCTGACTTCTGTTTGTTCGTCCAAGGGTTTGGTCTGTGTTCTTTAAATCGTGTGTTAAACCCGCGACCAGTTTGGCCTATATATATGCTTGGGCAGTCAGCACACTTTAGTTTATAGACACCAGTTTTGTTATTAGTATTCATTTTCGCATTTGGCGTTTTGTAATTCAGCAAGTTTTTTGTTTTATTCTTCGTGTTGAAGACTAGGTTTAAGTTGTTATCCCTCATAGATTTTTTCAATGTGTGTTGTATGGTGTGACTGTATTCAATACATACATATTAAGCCTTATTTTCATGGTTTAGTTGACAAGTTTCAATGTTGTTTTCTCGTTTGTTCTTATGTTTGGTGATAAGTCTGTCCACTAAACTGTCAACATAACCATTTGCCCTCGAGATGTGTTTGATTATAGCTACCTCTGAATCAAAATCGGATTTATTTAATGGTATACTTAGTAAACGATGTATCATTGAGTTGTAGGCACCCATTTTTTGTGAATGTGGATGGTATGAGCTGGCATGAATTGTTTGATCAGTTGTGGTCGGTTTTCTGTAAATGCTGAATTCAAGTTTCGTGTCCTTCTTTTTCAGGGTTAGATCGAGAAAGTTGAGTTGGTTATTATTTTCTATTTCAATGGTGAATTTCAGTTTTGGAGCTATTTTGTTGAGGTAGTTGTGGAGGAGGTTCAATTGTCTATTATTTCCATTGAATAACATTATTGTGTCGTCTACGTATCTATAGTAGAATAATATTTTGTCCTTATATTTGCTTTTATTTGAAAAGATGTGTTCATTTTCGATATGATCGAGGTAGATATTGGCTAAAAACCCTGATAGTGGTGAACCCATGGATAGACCGTCTGTTTGTTGGTAAAATTTGTCTTCTAAAATAAAATAATTTTGTTTTAATATCTCTGCTAGAAGTTCCATTAACTCATTTATTGCTTGAGGTTCTAGGGTATTTGATGAATTTAGGTGGTTGTTCACAATCGTCAAGAGTTTCATCTATAGGTACATTTGTGTATAGGTTTACTATGTCAAATGAAGTCAATAGTTGATGGGGTTTGGTGTTAAAATTCTTGATATTGTCTATGAGTTCATACGTATTTTTCAAGCTGTGATTATTTTCAAGAATAATACGAGTTTTTAGAATACTTTCAAGATGTTTTGCAGCTTTGTAAGTTGGTGCTGAGATGTAATTAACTAAAGGGCGGATTGGGGTGCCTTCTTTGTGGAGTTTAGGCAATCCACGTAGCGTTGGTGCATGAGGGTTCATCTCTTTAAGGCGTTTAATAATGTCGTGTCGTATTTGTGTTACGTGTTTATTTAATTGAACAATGACGAAACCATATGGTGAATAAAAACTTCACTAGTTAGTACTCAGCTGATGATGACAATGTGTCGAAACATGTACTGAAACATGAAGTGAAATTCACGATTCAATGAGCTATTGACGTAAGTAATCTAGTCTTACAATAATATCTACAGCTCAGGGGCTTAACAATGAATTTAAAAAAAAGACCATTGTTGGCCAACTGACTATGCCACCACACAAGTCATTGACAAGATAACATAACTTACAGGTGATTTTTAAATTCTTATTAAAACCACTTTTTATAAGACATTTTCGTAATTATTATTGTTTTGCAGTTATTGTGTAAAACCATTTAAAATTTTTTATTTCATAAAACAATTCCCTTATTTCTACATTGATTAGTTATTTATTTATTTAATTTTAAAATGTGTCCAATCATTGTTCCCACAAAATTTGGCCTACCTTGTCACCTTGTTTGTTGTTGTTTGATTGCCAAAAAAATAAATTAATATACACAAATGTATGAGATAAATGTTATATTTTCAATTGAGGCATCCTATAAATATTCTTCTAACAAGTTAAATTCTCTTCTCAAAAAGAAAACTTCTCTAAGATCTTATTGAAAGAAAAGGTGGCATTGTTATTCATTTCAGCTAATAATTTCCTATAAATTTTCATTTTTGATTTCCTTACTTTTAGGGAGGGAGCAGTTATTAATCTCGGAATTTATTGTAATACACCTTAAATTTGTGTCTGCAATGGACGTAATTTGTTTTTCCTGTTCTCTTGTTTCAGATTTTTCAAGTCAACGTTTAGATAGCCTTTCTAGTTTTGCTCATAAATATTAGATCAAGGAGGGATCTGTATAGTTCATTTTACAATAATATTGTATGTGACTTGATCATGTTTAATTATATAACTAAATAAGATGAATGGTCAAAGAACACAACTTTCTGTTTCATATACTTAAATACTTTTCGATGAAATGGTGACATACAAAGTAGGTATTTTAAGCCAAGTATGAATGGAGATGAGTGTAGGATGAGTGGCGCAATCTTGTAATCTTGTTAGTGACTAAGGCCGACATATTCCTTAGACACAGCTGTTAATTTGATTTGATTTGATTTGAATAGCCCATACAGCTAATGGTAACTAAGGGACCTACAGTTTATAGTGGAATACGAACCACATTTTTTCCTTGGTATATACGAATTGGGCTAATTATCAGGATAGTACTGCGGATAGTCGTAGTACTCACTCGTGCGGACGTTAATATTGCAAGTTTTGAACTATTCAATGACTTTATCCAAATTATAGTAGCAAATGAATGGTTATATTATTCTTGCTTTTCATTCAAACTTCATCTGAAAAAATCCTAAATAGTTGAACAAGTTTGTTGTTGTATTAAAACAATTATCTCAAAAATAGGCCTATAAAACCTCCGCCCTTGTGTTCTATACCTTAACCTCAAACTGAAAAAAATACAAGGCTAAATTTTAATTCACTACTCCCAGAACTTTAAGTGTAAATGAGGTAAATGTTTATTCAAACCTACGAAGAGACAGTTTTGTTCTTTGACAATGACTGATTGTGCTTCTTTTTCATCCTATTCCAATTGTATTTGGTACAATGATTTTGTAAATGGACTTGACATCAACTTGGCACTATTGAAGGCTGTATTAAGACTTGTCTGCCGTCTGCCATGTTAGAAGATTTTAGTTGATAGCGAAGCAACTCAAATGTGAGAGCATATTTCACTCATAAGATTTGACCAGACAAGCGTAACAATTTATTATCATGTAGTTATTTGTTTTGTCGGGGATGGGATAAAAGTTCCATTTTGGTCAATTTTGATTACCATTTACTATTTAAGTTGTTTGTTGAGTTTAATAAGATGACTTTTTACTACTCATGAGATTAGAGGCGATGACTTTATTAATTATACTCTTTATCACAAGCCTCACAAGATACATTTTAAGTTTATTTAATTTAGCGATGTGTCAATCACATTTGAAGGCTGTCAGTAGTTTACTAATTGTTTAGTATTATGTAGGTAAGATTTTGATGTGCAACTGTGAGTTCAAGCAATTTCAAGGGAATATGTTTGAGAAAATCAAACCAGGTGAATGGAGATTTACTCAGTCCGCAGGTTTGCTGCGACAAGGGTATTTATATGAATCTATTAGTTTATTTTTCTTATGAAACAATTCTTATGTTTGGATCTCATGATTGAATCTCATTGGCAACATTTTTATAAAATCACAGTTAAAGTCATGCTACGAGGGATGATTTTTAAATAAAGGCTGTTTGTAGGTATAGCTTCTTAGTTTGTGTGTACGCTGCAACGAGACTCATCGTCGCTTACTTGTATAATTAGTGAACAGAACGGCGCCATTTGTAGCTCTGTAGCTGACGTGTACACTTTGCTGTGTGTATAGACATTTGTATTTAAATTATAGGATCTCCCACCACATGTAAGATGAGGTTGGTGATATGTTTTTTGACTGCAATAAACATGTCGGCTTCAGACATTCATTGCCAGATGACGGAAGTTTATGGCTCTAACGCAATGATAGAGGGTAAAGTGCAGAAATGAGTTATGAAGTTTAAAAATTACCCTGAAAATGTCCATTTTGGAAGGAATTCTCTTTTTGGTCAGTAACCAGACTTCTCACACAATACCTCAAAGGGAAAAGGTTTCCACGGCCATTTTTACACTCTAACCGATATCTGCACTTTACCCTCAATCATTGCATTTGGGCCATAACCCACAGTCATCTGGAAATGAATATCGGCATCAAATGTGTTTTTTGTGGTCTGAACTGAAATGACCTTAATCTCACATGTGGCAAAAGATCAAAATAATCTTATAAAATTTTACGTCACACTACATTATTTTGACGAACTTCCCACGCAAGTATTTAGTCCAGAATCAGCTGTTTGCCGCCAGCTTATTCAAATGGGGTTTCATTGCGTACTACTGTACTGTAATGAGTTTTACTGGACACCAATCAGCTGATTATACTGTATTTAGGTGGCAATGAGTAACAAAAACATGACTAGTGATTTTTTTAGTCTTTTAGTTGGTGGAAATATATAAGGATTTGTACAGATTTAGTAGTATGGCGTAAACTGTCGTATGCATCTCGTCCGGAATGTGTGTACCGGACTCGTATGGTAATCCCACACTAGTCCGGTTAACACTTATTTTCAGGACTAGTAACGTAGTATAATATACTATTAAATTACACAGCAAAACGTCAGCTACAGAGCTGCAAAAGACGCCATTCCATTCACCAATGATCATAAGGGGAAAGCCGCCTTTTTGTGACGTATGCACAAACTATAGAACTATTAGCTGAAACTACCCTTCAACCCTCGTATAGCTAAACATTTTTATGTAAGGAAAAATCAATAAGACTTTTTGGACGTTATGTAGCCTGTTAACCATTAATACTTGACATCACATAGGCTAACTAAGAATTTAAAATCAATGAAAATCCCTTTGAGTTCTATAGGATCATTATTTTTTTAATTAATTAGATTTATTCTCAATTATTTTGACTCCTAAATCATTGTATACTTTTGCCCAACGCTGGATCTCATCACAGTTGTACAGTGTATCTATTCCATTGCTTTTGGGTTCTTGCCCTCACTTGCAAAAAGTGATGTTTCTTTCACTGTTCGGAAAAACTTGTTTATTTGTTCCTTCTATTAGTATCTTTAATTTAGATTTCAAGTGACCCGAACAAGTGATAATGAACAAATAGACTATTTAATTGTTAGTATTGTTTTGCACATTTATATTGTGTTAGATTGTTTATTTCTACTGTAGTTTTACTCTAATTGTCTTAGGATTATTATTACCTAATAAAAAGTATTGTTTTTGTACATTTATACAAATTATTATGATTTATACATTTTATTTATACTACTAAGTGTGATCATGGTTTTGAATAAACTCAATATTGTGTCAGTTTCTATTGTAGTTCTTGTTCTATAATATCTGAGAGTAATTGAAATGCACACGATCTTTGTTATAAATCGATTGTATACAATTACTATTAAAGACGTTTATGTTCAAGAAAATGTCTGCTCTTTTCATTGTTAAATCCTGTTAAATACTTTTTTTATTCCATCCCCTCCTGGACGGGTCACAGATATATATCCGCATAATGGTTATTGGTTATAAATGTTGTGGATATTTCCACTGATTCTGTAGACAGACTGGTTGGTATCATTACAGTAACCAGCAGGTTCTTGCTACTATGGCATTACTTTTCTCTATGGGCGTTCATCTATCTTTTCCAGAAGGGTGTAAGGGGTGCACGGAATAGACCCCATTAGGTAGGGGGATCTAGAAATGTTTACATAATTTTTCAAAGATAAATTTTGAAGTGCAGTATCACAAGTTTTACCAGTGTCTTGTATGGTTACTCTGTTGAAAGTCAGAAAGTATAATTTCTCTATCATTCACAATGACAATTAATAGTGCTTGAATTAATAATTGCTTGATATATAACACTCCATATTTGGAGAAAATTAGATTAGTAGGATAACATTTAAATCTTTTGAGAATTATTTTGATTAATTATCTCTCTGTCATAGACAGAGGACCCAGAGTGCAGTGTGGCTGAAATGTACCACCCATACTGCCCAAACCAGCACACCATACTGCACACACGCCATACTGTAACACATACTGCACGTATGCATAGTAAACGTATCTGCCGTGATCCATAGTCAACACATGGCTAAGTTGATGAAAATGCATGGATCGGTTTCCTAAAATGTTGCTTAACGTGATTGATGTGAGATGCCTGTGACGAGTGCAGAAGCCACGGCCAATGGGCTTATCTAACTTGTAAATTCAGGTGTCATACAAGTTTAGAGAACAATAGAGATTACCTGGCTGACAAATTTTTGTTTTCTCCCTGACAATAATACGGTATCTTGGTGGAAGGAAAAGGATAGTGGAGTAAAGTGGGATGAGTTTGAGAGGGGAGCCGATGTGGGGGGAATATGTGGCCAGCTTGGAAACAACTTGGGTTTCCTGAGAAGTCCATATACTATTACTCAAGGTTATATTAAGATGGAAATAATTTTGTTATTTCCTAAACGATATGATATGCTATTACTATAGTAACTCAAAGAATGGCGGCTACACATTCTTTTTAAACCTAAGGATATTATATTAGCAATGGGGATAACTATCTTGAAAGGATACCTTCCAGCTGTCCTCTCAGTAATGGGGGGGGGGGGGGGTCCCTAAACCCTTTGCCTCTCCCCTGAGCACCAAAGTCATCGCTCTCTCTTGCTCACAGGCCAGATATTTTTGGGGAAAGCTAGTTGGTGTGCGAACTGAAGCATAAAAGGGTTTTGGGCCCGCATTAGGACCACTGGAGGCCGTGGCTCCGTTTCCGCTCATAGTCATAAGAGTTTCATAAGAGTCATAGTCATAGTCATCCTTTAATTATAGAACAATACAAAACACATGGTGGATGGTGGATAGTTACCCATGCTATCACTATTGGATTTGGATACTACAAGTTCATTTATCCTCATCCTATAGTAAAACCTTAAGCTTTCTTATAGTGTGGGTTACATGTCAAATAAAGCTATGTCCGAGTGTCAAATAAAAATAGGAAAATTTATTTTTGAGTGAAAATTTTACCCTTTTTGCGTCAATATTATCATAGAGTAAAGTAGTAGACACTTTAATCTAACTACTGTTTAATCTTTAATCTGTCTACTCCTTTAATTTATGATATTAGTTTGAAATTCCATGACAAAGCAGTACCACTGTTCTATTTGAATGTAATACCACGGATGGTACCGGCAATACATTACACAAATAGAGAATGTCCACTTTAATAAGGAAACATACTCATTGTTTGCATCTCAATAAAAATTACATTTATGAACCACCTAGTAAAATTAAAAACAAAACAATGACTTAGACTAAAAAAAATTGTTCCTTACTTCACATAGGTTTCACCCTGTGGTTGGGTTATTCAGGGTCAGCTGAAAACAAATTGTGTATATGCTCTATAAACACTTAGGTACCAGTACTTAAATGTCTTCCCTTTTTATTACTTTATTTAATAAATTAAAAATAAACCCTTTAGATGGATAAGTATCGGAAATTAAACTCACATCAAAACAACTTCCAAATTTTGTAAAAGATGAGAGCACATGCACAGTACAGTACTATCAAAAAGCAAACTAATCCAAACTGGTCAAAAGTCAATGCCTACAATTTAGGGTTCACAAAAAGTTCGAGAATGGCATTCATTGTTTAACCATTGCAAATAATGCAACTATCAAGCTTGCAAATAAGTACGACATAGGCCTACCTAAACGGCATCAGAAATCTGACACACTGTCTCCCATTGGCACAACCCTACTTCATTGGTGAGAGGTGGGGTTAACATAATGATATTTCATGGAGAATAGGAATGAATAACAAAAGTATCAATAACTTTAGAAATTAGAACCCTACATAATTTTACAGCAAAGGGGATTTTGCCGTTTTAGCGTGGAGTTAAAAATACCAAAACAATAGTTTTAATTAAAATAATTCGAATCTTTTGTTTTTCCGGTTTTCCCGTTATTTATGGGGTTTAATGGGAAAATCACCATTAAAAATCGAAATGCAAAACGCCAGGAGATACAATGGAAAAGTACCCAACCGCAGTAAGGTACAGGAAACAATAGTACACTTAACATGGTGTCTGTGTATCCGCTGACGTCTAGGGAAAACGTTCATGGTGGATGAAGGCCACTGTGCCCTGTGCGATAGGAATTTCTGCACAGCAGCACTACACTCGCCGTTCCGACTCTTCGCTTGCTCGTCACAAGTATATTTCCGCCAACATACTAGAGCGGAAAGCACACGGTCGTTCCGTAAGCGTGTTTCCTCTGTACATTTCTACCTCAATTCTCTGTGTTGTTACTCTGTCCAACCCCCCTCCCAAACACTCACACATACATTACTACGAAACAACTTTTTTGTGTTCAGGGGGCCAAAACAGATATATCTACCAAAAATTTAAATTCGAAAATTAATGTTCATGAAAGCAATAGGCATACTTACTTTCTCCATTTATATACTATGTATAGGGGGAGAAAGTAAAAATCTACTTTTTGAAACTGCCGTCATTTTGGCTAGGAAGGATGAACCTTTATGGGTCTGGGTTGCGGCGCTGTACTCCCCTGTTTCAAGACTGTTAATTAATTTTCGACATATGCTGTCATTTAGATTCCCTTCTGATTCCTTGTGGACCACCTCAAGTATGATATAAATGAAACACAACAATTAGATGCTATCATAGATAAAACATACTCCCCCAAGTAGATTTCTCATCCTTATGCAACAGCTGAAGACAATTTTATTGTTAGTTCTGTACGGTTCATGTAGAGGTTGTGTTTTGTTTACAATTTGTTTCCAGTTATTACAGTCATTTAAAACCTCGTTTAACCAAATAATACGATCTAATCATAACCAATAACTTTTCTCCTAGTTATATAACCAAACAGTAAAGCACAAATCAAGAAATTAACCCTAAAATAATAGAAACAAAATTTTGTCGACACTAGCGCCCAGTGTCATCGTACATGAACTAGACACGAAAAACGTGCTTTAAAGTTTACAATGGGAAGTCAATTCTACTTGTGTTGGTTAGTCTATGATGCTATTAAAAACAATTTAAATAACCTATATTTACTCCAAATAAACAATGGGTACCAGTACCTACGTTTACATTTTAGTCTACTTCCAACTGTAGAGCTGTACATTAGGAAATATAGCTTGCCCTTTTACTAACAAAAAAGGTCCATCAGCTTGTTTTGTATCGCGGTCGAACAAACTGTCAACTCCACTCCAAGTCTCCAACTGTCGTCGTCGTCGTCTTTCTTTGCTTGTTGTCGTTGTCGTTGTCACTTGTCAGTGTCAGTTGTCAGTTCACAGTTCTGTTACTGTAAGTTGTTGTCAATACTGAAATGGTTTAGTATAAACAACCAATGGTTAATAGTGTCTGTGCATCGAAGTTAGAACACTAAAGTAATTTTGTATACGGTTTCCTACAACAAGTTCAGTATATTAACTAATTATTTTATTTGTGTGTCCACGCCATTAGACATTTAAAAAATGATAAATGGCATCTGGGTCCTGTAAAGATCTCGCTTGGAATCGTAGATTGTAGCTATTGTTGATTTGTTCTTGAAAGACAATGGGGCCTAAAACTACTGACATATTGAGTGGATTTCAAGTGTATCCTTTATAAGAATATGCCAACACTAGTATTGAAGCATTAATTGAGTATTTTATAGACCTAGGTTATTTACTCTGTACAGTATTTCTTCTATTAGTTAGCTATTATGTTGGTGATAACAAGTTACCAAAGTAGAATCGGCTATTGTCACAAAATGTTTTGGTTAGGTACTTGACTAGGCCTACCTAGATCATAAGATACCTTGGAGAAAAATACTCTTCATCGGTTATCCGAGGTTCAATTGAGTCGTTCCTATGCCAAGAAACCGTACATGACATGTTGAGAACTGCATATGTCTTTTTTTAGGATAACCGGTATGCATCATAGTAGCACTGCCGAGATTTTTTGTATTGACACTTCATCTTGATTGTTAACGATAAACGTAACTTGTTTAGTGCCTCTCTACACCATCAGACGTCAACAATCCTCATTTTTGCTAAACAACATTGGAATGTGTGAAATCAATTACGAGGGGGGTTTTTTAAGTAGGCCTAACACTCCATAACCCATTTCCGCACTTAACCCTCATTGCATTAGGGCCTGAATCTTCAAGTCATAATGTCGGCATTGAATATGTGTCTTGTAATAAAAAAACTTACCATTGACCTTATCCGGCGATTCGATAGTAACACTATGTTGTAACAGTTATATTTTAAACTCACAGCGAAGCATACATGTCAGCTATAGAGCTACAAATAGTGTAATTCTGTTCACAAATGATGTAGTAAGTGGTGTGGAGCCTTGTTGCGACATATAAGCAAACTACAAATTCATACGCAAAAGTGGCCCTTACTTAGAAAACCGCCCTCGTAAATCCTCTGATGCCTTAATCGTGTTCCTGCTAGGTAACCCAGAGCCCCCGCTAAACCAAACTAATTAGGACTGGATCTTGTTTAGGCTACTACATTTTTTGAATTGAGAATAACGTACACATTACATCAAAATTTCTCTAAAAAATAACAGTTTATTTTAATGACTGAGAATGGCTATATATTACTCCCACAGTCATGGATATTTCTGTGAGGTATATATAGATAGGTGTTATCTACTACTATCCTGGCACCACACATGATTGACCCCCTTTATTGAGTTCTTTGTAACACACAGTGACCTAAAAAGATAACCGGTAAGAATACCGCTAATGAAATGACGGCAAGAAACCTCCAGTCAATTCATAGTTTTTTTAGTTTCCCAATTGGCTGTACACCCTAGTTTTTCCAAAACTCAGCAACAGGTTTGTTTCCCCCCAAAATTGGTTTGGATTGGTCACATGTTTGGGTTAGCAAGACTGTGAAGTATTTAGTGCTTCAACCTCCTGTCAAAATCCACTCACCAATTATATGAAAGCATAGACTTTATACACAATATAGACTTCCCATGTAGGCTAATGTAAAAATTTGAAGCCAAAAAACGTGGTGCAATCTGTTGAGAACAATATTCTGTGTTAAGTGATAATTAAATGACCTGTTTGCTATGATACTGCGTTGATTTTAATTAATATTCAACTCAATACACTTAATACCTTCTGATGCTGAACTTTATCTATTTCCTTGGCTTCAAATTGTTACATTACGGTACATGGGAAGTCTATTCTGTGTATAGTCAATGATAAAAGTAATAGAGAAATGGTTCCACTCTAAACTCTTTTACCCTCTAAGTCACATTTGCCAAGTGTTTTAACAAAATATGACTTGTATTCTGTGAATGTAAATATAAATGTTGTGTAAATATATACTAAACTGATGCATTATATCTGACTAGTTTGGTCAAAGAAGAAGAAATCCAGTATTCAAGTGAACAAATCCTAGAAGCAGGCTAATATTGTAACTTTTGTAGTAGTTAGATTACCGGCGATAGAACGAGAACATCATTAGTTAACATGACAAGGCTGATACAGACAGGAGTGATGCGGAGGTTAGGTGACATCACGGGAGCTCATGGTAGACTGGGGAAGGACTTGCTGGGAAAGCGTTGCTTGGCCAGTCTGTGTTCTTGGGCCTAGTTGGTTGAGGTGGCGAGATTATCTGACCACTGTAACATTTATTAGGCCAAACTTGCTATCATAGGCCTACAATTTACAATGCTCATACAATGCACAGTACTATATGAAATATACTACAAATACCTCCGTTGTTTACTATTCGGTTTTGAAACTATGCCTTTAGTAGGGCCTATGCATAATGAAGTAAAACTGGTTTTGTTGTAGCACAGACATATGGAATGAACTTTGTTTATTCACCTTTGAATAACCTTATTAATATAGACTGTGGGGCAACTCAACACTCTTTGAGCGCTAAACTGATCTAGTGCGAACCCTGAATTTTACTCAATGCCAATCAATGTCTCAAGTTTTGCAGTTATTTTCTTAACCAAATATCTTCAGTAACTGGATGAACTTGAGAGATGCTGACACTGGTAAAATTTTATGGCAAGGAAATGAAGATTTGTAAGTATCAAAAATCTTGTTTTGGATCTTGTAGTAAAGCACACATTTTATGTAATAATATAGTAGTATAGGTACATCAAACAAAACATAAAACTTGTGGTACTTCATTACATGTTAAACAAATCTTGTATGGCTAAAAGCCAAATCGGAGTGAGTTCCTAGGAATTGTTGTTTGCAGGCCTAATGGTAAATTCTTTCTTCTTAAACATGGCCCTCGTATAAAATAGCCAATCAACACCGGTTTGTATTTTTAATGTTATGAACAATTAATCAACTAATCAAAATAATTTTTTTTTCAAGAATATCATATTTTGTTGATATTTATTCGTGATCAGGTTAGTTATAAAATAAAAAATGTTTAACCAATCCCAATGATTTAAAGTAGGCTATACACAATTCCATTTTATTATTTTTTTTAAGGCACATATTTTATGAGTAGGTACTACATGTAGAGAATGCACCTCTTTAATCTAACAGGTCTGAAAAATGTCACCCATTATATAAAACTATGTTTAATAGCTATAGATGGGAAATTCCTCTAAAAGGAATTTGCTTTACTGACTTAGTCACAATCATCACATTATGGTAACTTACATAAATCTTTTTGATAGGCAATTTGTCATAAAGTCTAATTATGCAATGATTAATCAACTCAAAATAAACAAATAAAATAATCCATACAAACCTATGGGGAAGCATTATACAGGGTGATCAACTCAAGGAGGCCACCATTGGGATATCGGAAACGGTAAGAATTAGAGAAAACTTTAAATGGGGGACATTCCTTTATTTTTTGTGGCAGTTAAAAATATGATTTTATTTTTTCGAAATTCAGCCGCCATTTTCCAAAATGGCGGCCAACTTTGAAATTTCTTATGGAACACCCTATATTTTATCATATTTTCGGATAGAGCAGGCAATTTAAAAACTTTTTTATTCTTGCAAGTTTTTCGATAAACCCACTCGTTTAGGAGTTACAGCCTATGGAAAAATGACTTCCGGTGTACATTTTATATCATGTAGCTCCTAAACAAGTAGGTTTATAGCAAAAATGCGAAAAGTTTATAAGTCAAATAAGTCTTAAAATTGCATCCACTTTCCAAAAAGACCATAAAATTCGTTAAAACTATTAATTCTATTATTTTAAAAATGGCGGCCATTTTCCAAAATGGCGGCAAAATTGAAAAGTGGAAAACTGTGTATTTTATGGTCTTTTTGGAATGTGAATGCAATTTTAAGACTTATTTGACTTATTTACTTTTTGCATTTTCGCTATAAACCTACTTGTTTATGAGCTACATGATATAAAATGTACACCGGAAGTCATTTTTCCACAGGCTGTAACTCCTAAACGAGTGGGTTTATCGAAAAACTTGCAAGAATAAAAAGGTTTTTAAATTGCCTGCTCTATCCGAAAACATGATAAAATATAGGGTGTTCCATAAGAAATTTCAAAGTTGGCCACCATTTTGGAAAATGCCGGCTTAATTTCGAAAAAATAAAATCATATTTTTACCTGCCACAAAAAATAAAGGAATGTCCCACATTTAAAGTTTTCTCTAATTCTTACCGTTTCCGATATCCCAATGGTGGCCTCCTTGAGTTGATCACCCTGTATAGTACTGTCTTTATTTCTGTTTAAACACTCTATTTATTTTAAAATTAGTATTAACATATTAAATCTGAGTGCAAACATTATTAAAAATAAACTTGATTCTGTAAAATTGGATCATTTAGTAGTGATGAGACGAGTCGAGTACTTTCCCGACTCGAGTCTATTCGACTCGATACCACAACTACTCGAGTCAGTACTCGAGTACTGGACTCGATTCTTACCTGTATAGCACCGAAGCTCTGTTGACTCGTAGCTGCGAATTCTGGAAATTAATCTTGTCTTGACTCGAGTCTCTTTACTCAAGTCAGACAGACTTGGCTCAGATTCGTTTTATACTCTGTCTGTCTGTGTAGATTTAAGATGAGAGCGAGATCGGTTATTCATCTCACATAGAGTTGATAATTAATTATGGGTTTTATTGTTTGAAATAAAACTTTGTTGGATTAATGAAAGAGATTAATAAAAAACGGTATCTTCGCTATGTACTTGTAGCGGATGGTTTTGAAACTATATCTTCATCGTGTGTTATTACGAACTGTCAAGCACACAAGCGCTGTCGACTCGTAGTGGTTAAATCTGGAATAACATCAAGTCTCGACTCGAGTAGAAAAGTTCTAGTATTAAATGCACCCAACCCAAGCGCTATGGACTTGTAGTGGCGGTTCTAGTAAGCTTTAGTTAACGAGTAATAGTACTCGAGTACCGTAGGTTTGAATCGAGTCGACTCGATAGGCCTACTTCATTGGACTCGATACTTAACGAGTCATGTACTCGACTCGTCACATCACTATCAGTTAGGCCCTAAGTTACCAGATGATTACATACAGGGTGAGTTTTAATTGTCCCCCCCCCAACTTTTTTCTACATTTTTTCAAATATCAATCCCAGACCACTTCCAAACATTGTTGGGTAGTAAGTACTTCATTTTGACAAGGTGGCCATTTCCGGCCGCCATCTTGGATCCGCCATATTGGATGCAAAATTTTTTTTTCAAATGTAAATGTGGGGTTGTGACCCATTATTTCGAACTAAATTTTTACCCTGATTACAATGCCGCAAACCGTTTAAAAAAATCTTGATTCGTTCTAAAGTTATGAGGGCTTTTTAAAACTTTATTTTTAGCCCATTTTAACATTGTGCATTTACAAACTAAGACCATAATCTCAAAATAGTGCTAGATAAAGATAAGTATACACTACCAGTAATTGTCGACCTATTTTCACTTGGTTATGACTAATGTATTTTTTTCGGCCGCCATCTTGGATCCGCCATTTTGAAATGTGATAAATTATTTTAAATATGAAGGGGGCGTTGTGACCCATCATTTCGAACTACTTTTTTAAGCTGAACTTAATTCCATGATCCGTTTTTCATTTTCATTTTTTGATTTTGAAATATTGACATTTTTAACAAAAACATTTCAATATTTCATAAATAAAACTTGATAACAAAAAATGGATTGCGGCATTGTCTTCAGCTTAAAAAAGTAGTTCGAAATGATGGGTCACAACACCCCCTTCATATTTAAAATAATTTATCACATTTCAAAATGGCGGATCCAAGATGGCGGCCGAAAAAAATACATTAGTCATAACCAAGTGAAAATAGGTCGACAATTATTGGTAGTGTATACTTATCTTTATCTAGCACTATTTTGAGATTATGGTCTTAGTTTGTAAATGCACAGTGTTAAAATGGGCTAAAAATAAAGTTTTAAAAAGCCCTCATAACTTTAAAATGAATCAAGATTTTTTTAAACGGTTTGCAGCATTGTAATCAGGGTAAAAATTTAGTTCGAAATAATGGGTCACAACCCCACCTTTACGTTTGAAAAAAAAACTTTGCATCCAATATGGCGGATCCAAGATGGCGGCCGGAAATGGCCACCTTGTCAAAATGAAGTACTTACTACCCAACAATGTTTGGAAGTGGTCTGGGATTGATATTTGAAAAAATGTAGAAAAAAGTTGGGGGGGGGGACAATTAAAACTCACCCTGTATAAGCCTAGAATGTTTTTTTGTTTTCATTTACCTAGTAAAAATGCTTGGTTATCAAAGTCTAAGACAATTTTTATACGTTTTAGATCTTCACCCGATGTCGAGCACATGGCCAGAGTCCCAAAGAAAATTCTGAAGTGTCGAGCAGTATCAAGAGAAATCAACTTTTCTTCGGTTGAAGCATTAGAAAAATTTCGACTAGAGCAGAAGATATTATTTAAGGTTGGAGTAAAACATAATTTATTTCCTCATTACTATTATATTTTTGTGTATATATGAATAAGAATAAGAAAGTTTATTGCCGTTGACCTGGTTGTATACAGGAATAGGCATTGTCAAATTACATTAAACAAAATATCAACAAGTATGTTATATCTATAGCTAACAAAGATTGAGAATTCCTAACTTACAGTGTGAATGATTCCATTGTAATTTTATGTTTCAAAAAGTCCTTGACTAAATAGAACGGATTTGCTACAAGCCAGTTATGAATTTTGGATTTGAAAAGAGGAAGAGAAAGGCTGTCTGCCTGAAGAGGCTCAGGTAGCTTATTATAAAATTTCACACAGTTGAGTTTGAAAGAGTTACCTGTGATGGCTAGCCTGTGATGTGGTATATCCAGTTGTTCCTTATTTCGTGTATGGTGGGAATGGTAATTCTGCCTGGTGGAAAACTCATTGAGATTAGCTTTAGTGTATATAAGTACATTGTAGATGTATAAGTTAATGATTGTGCAAATGTTTAGTTTGATAAAAAGTGGTTTGCAGTGCTCCGCAGGGTCAGCCCCTAACATTGTGCGGATGACTTCTTTTTGTATTAGTAGAAGCTCATGGACAAGGGGGGAATGGCCCCAAAGTTGGATTCCATATTGAATATGGGATTGAAACAGCCCAAAATATGCTAGTTTGAGGTATTCAATATCGATAAAAGGCTTGAGTTTCCAGAATAAACATGAAACTCTCGATAGTTTTTTGCTTAAATTTGTGATGTGAGTTTTCCAGTTTAATTTACTATCGAGGTGGAAGCCAAGAATTTTTACTGAGTGGTCTGATTGTTTAATAGAGAAGGAGAAATCAATTTTCTGGGTCTTGGATTGATTACAGATCAGTTTATTTGCAGAAAACCAGTTTAAAACACTTTTTTCTGCTTTAGAAAGAGCTTCTGAGAGCTTTGTTTGGTCTTTATCAGAAGTAAAAATTGTGGTACCGTCTGCGTAAATTACACATTCGACAGGAGTGTTACATGGAAGATCATTTACTGCGATTATAAAAAGGAAAGGGCCTAGGACCGAGCCCTGCGGAACTCCTGCTTTAATTGTGGTCAATGTTGACTTTTTACCCTCCACACTAACATATTGCTTCCTATTAGTCAGACATGATTCAAGCATTTCTATTGTGTTTTTGCTAAGTCCATAGAATTTGAGTTTAGCCAGCAAGATGTCAAACGGGACGCAGTTGAAAGCTTTTGTTAAATCAAAAAGTAGCATGGAAACAGTATTTTTATTTTCAAAAGCATTAATAATATAATTGGAAATGTGAGAGGCTGCCATCGTAGTTGATCTGCCAGCTCTAAACCCAAATTGAGAATCAGTCATCAAGTTATTAGAGTCAAAAAAGTTATTTAACTGTTTTAACATGAGAGCTTCAAAAACCTTAGATAAGATTGGTACTATCGAGATTGGGCGATAGTTTTGACATGGATTCTTGTCACCCTTTTTATAAATTGGAGTTACTTTTGAGACTTTAAGTTGGTCAGGAAAATAGCCATTACGGAGACAACTATTAAATACAGTGGGGAGGGGTGTAGATGTAGTGTATAATATTCTTGATTATGTTGTTTGAAAACCAAAAGTGATCCATAGATTTAGAATTTGAAAATTTTGAGACTTTTTGTTACCTCATTTGGTATAATAGGTATCCATTCAAATTTAGAGACGTCCAATTTTTTTGTAGATTCCAGTAGTTCTCTTGGTGTGTCTTGAGTCTGGCCCACTTGATTGGCCAGTTCCTCAACTGAATCTGTAAAGTATGTGTTTAATTTGTTAGGGTCAAGAGTAACATGAGATGTGCGTGTGGTTGTATTTTCCTGTGTTATTATGTCCCAGGGGCCTTGCATTCGTTTTTTGAATTGTTAATGTATTTTGCACCTAGGCTAATTTTTTAGCAGGGTTTAAATCCTTCCTGTACTGTTCTTTTAAGCTATTGTAGATATAAGCTGCCTGAGCCTTTACAGAATCAATTAAAAAAAAATGTTTGTACAAAGAATTATAAGCCATCATAGTTTCCTTACTTTTTTTAAACTATCACTATAATAGGTAATTTTATTTTTCACTAGATTAGTCTTATTATCTGATCTAAGCTTTTTCTTAACAGGTGGAGAATAATAGTACCAGAGGTTAACAAACCTATCAAAAAAACTAACAAACAATGTAACTGGGCTACTCTCATTTTCTGTAATGTCTTCCCATGACTCGCTCTGCAGTACCTCATGGAAAAGATTGAGATTTTGTTTCCTAACAAGAACACTAGGCTGCTCAATAGATAGGCCTACATTTTGTGAGCTTTTGCAGGCAGGTCTATGGTATTTAAAAAGCAGTGGATCATGATCGGCCAAAGCGCCTTGCAAAATTGAAACTTTGTAAAAATCTTGAGAAAAATTGACTTATATGTTATCTAAACAGGCATCGTTTCTTGTAGGGAATTTATTACTACATTTTAGGTCAAGTGATCGTAGTAGGTTAGTGAAATTAATTGAGATTTGTTCCTCCATCTTGGCCATTTCAATGTTAAAAGTCCCCACAGACTATTACTTTTTTTTTCAAGGCTGAGAACGTATTTCATAGCTCCTCTAAAATTATCAAAAAAAGTGGACATGTTGCCATTGGGTGACCTATACAAACTAACTATAATCAGATCTTCGTCAACAAGATTGATACAACAAATTTCACAATGTAAATCAGAAGAAAACTTATCAAGACTAACTATTTGGTAATGACAATCTTTTTGACATAAATAGCTGAGCCACCATTTTTGCAGCTAGTTCTGCACACAACATTTGCCAAAACAAAATTTTGGGGTAAAAAAACTTCAGCCTGATCTGGAGTCAACCAGTGCTCTGAGGCACAGATTAGATCAACATTATGTAAATGGCACAGGTGTTTTACAGCTAAAATTTTATTTCTGATGCATTGGCTATTTATTTGTAGTACAGTTAAAAAAGTTTCGCTAGGCCTATCATTATCAGTTTTAGCGAATGTTTTAAAATTATTTTTGCTTACAATGGTGGGAATTGTTACATCTCTAGCATTACTTAACATAGGCTTACTACCCAGATCCACGAAGTTCCGGGCCCACGCGCAATCAAACTGGATTTTCTTGACTCGCAAGAGTAGATAAGTTTTTCGAGTCTTCACTTCTCTTCACCACCAAGTCTCTTCTTAGAATACCCTTGAATGGAGCAAAGAGACAGCCTTCAGGCCATAGATCAGCACTTAATAGTTTGTCAAAATCAGATTCTGGCACTTCAACATGAAAGGAAGAGTAGCCCTTGTATTTAGTCCTAATTTGGGTACACTTGAGAAACTGAAGGTTTAGTTCATCCTTGATGTACCTGTCTATATCCAAAGTGGTAGATTCTGGGCTCAGCCTAGAGAGGAAAATAGCCTTCTTTCTGATCGCTGGTTTCAACTGAGCACTTTTAATTGCACAATCAGTCCTCTTGCCTATCACCATTTCACTGTATCTTTTACACTTTGCACGATCGTTTAATGACTTAGGTCTACTATTCGAGGTGCTTCCAAGATTCTTTTAGCGGATGTGTTGCTTGGATTTGCGACGGTAGACCGTTTGCCATTTGTCTTCTTCATTAATTTCAGTTTCATTGGTTAGGTCAAGGACGGGAGGGATCGAAACGTCAGAGGTTGAGTCCAGGGCAGTCGTGATGTAATCGATATTGGAATTTGAAGTAGGCCTTACATTAGATGAACCTGAGGCAGCAGGTCTTTGAGTACCGATTCTGCCTCTTCCCCGACCGACACTTTTTCTAACTTGACTCCATGTTGGCATTATCTGTTCACTAACAATTGGAGTTTCGGAGACAGTCTTTACCTCTGGCATAACCAACCCTTCAATAATAGTATCCATTTTGTCATTTAGTTTAACATTGTCGTCAACAACCCCTTTAACTGCACTCAGCAATAGGTCAACAGTATTGCGCAGCTGCGCTAGTTCATAGTTGGATCTGTAGTTGGAGCCTTCTGCTTTGAAGAAGTCATCCAATCTTGAGTCGCATTCGGAGCAGAACCACTTGACTTTATCAGCCATGTCATTTATGCAGATGTAGTCATCATTTGTCAGGTTTACACAGTTTATATGGAACCATTTTTCACACACGCCGTCACATAGCATGGCACAGTCATCTGGTACCTCAATTTTACATGTCCCACACAGTTTAGATTCATCAGTTTTGTCTTCTTTGTTACACGAGCGATTTCGCAAACTCGGTGTCATAGCTATCGGTGACTTGGTGAAGTTCAATGATCGATCTCCCGGTCTAATCCAGACAAAGTTGGAATATTGGACTAGGACTAAGTTAACCTAAACTTGTAGGACGAAACATGCAACACATATAGTTTATGATTTAAAATAATTCTTCTCCAAAAATACTTATTGTTCTAGATGCTTGATAGAGACAATATACAAATGTGTTTGATAGTTTTTACAAGAAATACAAATGTGATCTGATATTTTATGGGGAAAATAACAATAGTTTTAATTACTTTTTAACTGTAATGTTTACAGGGAGGTTTTACCGGTTTGTTGGAGTTAAAAAGGGCAATAATTTACTAAGTTGTAATCAAAATCCTTTTGACCTGTTTTTATTTTTAAAATCCGATTTTACCGTCTTTTTATTGGAAAATCACCTATTGAAAGTCAAAATGTTAAAAAACTATATCTGGAGATACCATGGATACGTCCACATACCAAATTTAATAAAAATTGGATTTTATGGAAGCAAAACATTCAATGTAACACAATAATAAACTCAACATGTAAACACAAGTAAACTTTTATTAGTCGGGAATAACGAGTGAGAAAAATCTGCAAATGTTTTCGACTCGTGCTGGTTTTTATCCATCTTAGGGATAAAAATAATTTCTTTAACAATGCATGTATTGGAAACAGTCGTTTTTACTGCACTACAACAAAACAAATACTATTTACTGTCATCAGTGATAAACTTGAGTTTTTTTTGTAGGGGAGAGTGATGGAAGAGTGGTATTTCGAGTTTGGGTTTGTGATACCAAACTCAACCAACACATGGCAATCTCTGATAGAGGCCGCACCTGAGTCACAGATGATGCCGGCAAATGTACTCAAGTAAGTTTCTGTTGCAGCAAACCTGTAGACAAAGCAAATTCTACTCCCCGATTGGATTTGTACTGATATATTTCCTTAAACTCTTCTTTGTTTGGATTTAATACAATTTTGATTTAGTGTAACTCTAAATATTTATGTCCGCATGGCCATGCCTGGACCCAAAATATCCTAAAAATAATTTGGTTAAAATAGAAAATTGAACATATCTCATGAAATAGGCCTATACGGTATTTCATTAAATTCTAGCTACAGAATTATAAAACATTTTTCTATAAATTAAAGCTGCATATTGTTTAAAAAAGTACATGGAGAGGTGCACCAGTATGTTAAAAAGAAAAACTACTTTGCATCAATTCATTAGAGTCAAAAGCCTATTCAATTTTCAATAATGTTTATGTGTAAGATTGTATCGCCCTTTTTGGTGTACTTGAAAAATAACAACAGAGATAGGCTATGAGTGGTAATTTTCCACCCTCTATAATTGTCAACATTCTAATCAGACTTAGTATTTTGTAAATAGTAAACTCCGGCGCTACAAAAGCCTCAACAATTTACATTTTATGAAATACAAGGTTTTAGTTTAACTATCTTCATAACTTTATTCAAAGATATTTTTCTCTATACATGATGATTAATAATCATTTTATCATTTAGGAGGGTCACAAAAAAGTCAAAGATAAAGGTGGGTTGCCAGACAAAATAGTTTGGGAACCGCTGCTCTAATGTATTTATATAGGAGTGAAAATTTAAAAACGTACGTTTTCATGTCCCTGGCCTTTTACTTCGTAGATACTGGATTTGTAGTTTATTATTATGTGTTTTAATATTTTTTGGGACAGGGGCAACATGTTACACACATTTATTTGGTTTTAAATCGGTTCTTGGTATTTTTTTCGTATTTTTAAAGTCTCGAAATTCACGACCATGACGTGTCCCCAGGGTACATTTTCCAACTTTCACGATGTTTTTAGACTAATTATTCATGCCGAAATATATAAAGCCATATTTTTATGTCATCAATGGTTATTAAACTTACAAAAAAGGAGCATATTATAATTTTATTGTCATTGCAGACTGACTACCATGACAAAATAAGTCTGTCCCTCGATTTGGCGTCACGACCATTTGGGAAAAATTTTGAACTTTGGAGCACGACAGTGGCAAGCCTGGCGTCGATGGAGTCAGTTGGTTTTAGAGACTAGTTCGGGGTGTACGTCAGGATTGTAGTGCCGGTCGTTTCGAGTTGAAAGGAGGAATTACAAGATTAATAAAGGAAAGATTGTGTTTTTTGTAATTTTGGTGTGTCCATGACCGTACGTAGTCATTCGATGAAGTAGACATGGTGTTAATTTTTGTTTATAAGATATTTCAATTGCTAGATTAACCTAGAAGTCCACTTTGTATCCTCGAACATGAGGTGCAGGGCTACCGCCAGAACAGAGCCAAATAACACGTAATTTCACGACCAAAGTTTCACGACCATCGCGGTTTTTTTCACGACCAATCCACCTTTATGGATTATAGTGTGTTTGGTCGTGACAATAACTTTAATATAATTGTAAATTGAACAGTTTAGTTCAATTGAAACACATAGTTTTATTATAACTAACAGTATAATTGAAGGATTGTTTAGAAAGATTTAGGTTATCCCAGACAATTCACGACCGTACCGCTTGTCCCTGACCATCACGTTTATGATTTCTATCATAAAAATTTCAAAACTTAAAATATCGTCATATTTCAATGTTTTATACACAAAAGAAGCACACCTCTATACAAACATAACGATTTTTCGGGTCTCAGGTAAGTTTTTTCGGAGTTATACAAACTTAAAAAGATTTTATTGGCTATTTTATATTTTTTGAGTTTTTTTTATTTTTTTCTTGAAAGACCAAATATACCAAAAGCTCAGTGACCTTTTTATTGTATAATGGTCATTAAAGTAAATTAGTTTATAGCAAAACATAGTTATAAAAATAATATTAACTATTTTTAATATTCATTTAAAGGTCCGTTATGGTCGTGACAGGATTTTGTGTTTTTCTACTAAAGATGCTCTTTAAAAAAAAAAACTACCAAAGATATTGCGTTACCATGGACATTTTATGAAACTTCAAATGTTAATGAAATAAAAAAAATAATAAAAGTTTTGAAAAAAGGGGACAAAAATTTGCAAAGTGCTTTTCCTGAAAACGTACGTTTTTAAATTTTCACTCATAATCACTTTCAATTCCTAAATTACTATTACTAATGCTGGGTTTAAATAAGACCATGTGGTTTATAGTTTGGTTGTAGCTCATTGCACAGTTCCCAACTGATTGTTTGCATTTTTACATCCATAAATATAAGAAATTGGATTAGGTATCTCTATCTACAGCTGTTGTTAGGCTATACATGGTGTATCCAAATTATCTGGGACATATTTTGTGGACTCGTTCCTTGGGATAAGACAAACATAAAATGCCATATAAGTATGGGTCTAAAATGCCTGGATTTCTGTATGTGGGTCGGTTTGTGTTTTTTTTAAACTATTTTATATCTTGGGCATTTTTCAAGATATAAATTTCAAAATTTTTATAAGTATTGATTAGAAGGTAAAAAGAGCTTAAACATTTTGTTCCAATATCTCAAGCTATTTAAAATGGTGGTAATATAAAATCTTTAATGTCAAATTTCATGAACACTGTATAAGAATCACAGCATTTCAATATCTCTTGGAACAAATATTAATCTCCTTTGTACTATTTGACCAACAGTATTTTATACTTGTATAACTGCCTCTTATAGTAATTATTAATTAATAAAGTAGAACAAACAGTAGAAAAAAAATAGAATAAAAAGTAAAAAAAATATGAAAGGTTGAATAAATTGTTTATTTTGTTTCAGTGGCAATGTGATCATAGAAACCAAATTCTTCGATGACCAGACCCTCATTTCAACCTCCAGAGTCAGATTGTTTTATGTTTAGTGTACTTTGTTTGTAAGTTATCGTCTTAGTGTATGCAAATTGATCACCACAAGTGGCCTCGGAAGATGTTGGCTTTCGTTTCTAATGATTTGAAGGATTTCAAAACTAAATAAGACGAAGCTACTTTTTTCAAAACTACATGACACAACTATTGATCATTTACAATTTAAAGGCTGGTTTCATGCTTGGGCATAATTACTGCCGCTTGCATCAGTCACTGAATTTGGGTTTAGGAAAACCAAGACATCAAGTGATCTCTTACATCTTCATTGAGGATAGGTTTGAGAAGAAATTAAAAACTAGATGCAGAATTATCTGCTACAAAAACCAGGTAGTTGCCAAACATAAGGCTCAGCAGCTTAGTACTGGCTTGTGATAGTTTTAACATAATACTGGAAACAGGTGATCTGCTCGGTATTTTCAAATATCAAAACTAATTGCTGTTATGAAACCAGAAAAAGATCTCATCTGATCCATGGCCATATTTCGATAACTATTCCACGGTCCGCTTCTGTCTAGTGGGGAGGTTATAAGCAATTAAATTCTCCCTATCCTTAATGCCAGCAACCCAGTCAAGCAAGCTAGACATTGATTTTGACGCAAACACAACTGCTTCCCTGTTTAAGTAACAGTAGATTCAACATGTTCTTATAGGTTTGCTGCTACAGAAAAGGAAATAAGGGTTTTTTAGTAAAATGCTACAGCTTAATTCTCCATAAGAGTAACACAGGACTTAAATGTAGATACTTTTGAAACTTTCTCTGTAACCATTACAACAACACTTCAAAATGCCTAATTTTTTGTGTTGAGAAAATTTTTATAAGATCATGAAAAAATGGGTGAAGGAAAAGCATTTAATTCAGAAGAGGTATTTTTAGACTGTTCACGTTATACTGTGACGTCCATGATGTGTTTGAGTAAGAAAGTCCTGTGTTTTCAATTATTAAAATATGAATTTTAACTTAAATGTAGTCTAGGCCTAAGAAATGTTTTATTTTATCTGTTGTAATTATTGTGTTAATGTGAATTTTATTTAAATGCCACATTGTTTATGTACTTCCCTGTTGTAATCTTAACTTGTATGTTTTGATATTAATGATTTTTTATCTATATAAATAACTATGATCAATGAGTTACTAATTATTGTTTTTTGTTAAGATATGTGACAATTTTATATGCAATGTAATTATCATTTGACAATAATACAAATCTGGATCCTCAGCATGAATTCCTCAGCATACTGGTCATCAAAATGAAAAAGTAAAACGGTCCCAGGCCTAGGTCTTACCGTGCCACCTACGGTAATAGCTACCTCCCTATAGGGAAGTTCGCTAACAATAAAATAATTTGGCTGAATTTAAGAAAGTATGAAGTCTATTATTTGTAATGCACAATCATATAGTTAAGTAGCTTAATAGGTTATTTTACTTACTAAAAAATTCTTTATAATATGCATTTTAATTATACTGATTTCATTGTACTGTTGCTTAAAAAAAACTCTGTATTTTTGGTTTTCCAAAATTGTAACTGTATAAGAAAATATATTTTTCCTACAGTTACCTAACAATGTACATGTTCTCTCACTGATTTGAGAAAGCAAAGTGGCCAATTCGCTCATCAGTGAGACAATGTTAACATTGTCTCACTCAAATTACTTTGTCTCACTCCAGATTTGCAACGTGAAGATACGAAATAGTGAGCGCGTAACATGCAGGCAACGTCGTATGCGCGCGAAATACGTTGGCAGCACTGGCTGTAAATCAGCTGGTCAGCTGTTGTACTGTTGTATTTGTCACTTCACGTTAAATGTTATATTAAAAGTTCACTTCTGTGTAAACATAGGTTATGTTTCTTCACCAATTTATTTGTTTTATGGTAACTGTAGGAAAAGTATAATGTGCAACTCGAGTTCAAAGTACAATTGCCTCACTCGCCTACGGCTCGTGAGTAAGGATTTCTCTCGAGTGAGTCAATTGCTCACTTTTCTCACTAGTTGCACAAATAACTATTTCCTACAGTTACCTAACAATGTACATGTTCTCTTACTGATTTGAGAAAGCAAAGTGGCCAATTCGCTCATCAATGTTAACAGACAATGTTAACATTGTCTCACTGATGTTAACATTGTCTCACTCTAATTACTTTGTCTCTCTCCAGATTTGCAACATGAAGGCACAAAATAGTGAGCGCGTAACATGCAGACAAGGTCGTATGCGCGCAAAATACGTTGGCAGCACTGGCTGTAAATCAGCTGGTCAGCTGTTGTACTGTTGTATTTGTCACTTCACATTAAATGTCATATCTGTGTAAAAATATGTCACGTTTCTTTACCAATTTATTTGTTTTATGGTAACTGTAGAAAAAATATATATGTGCAACTCGAGTGCAAAGTGCAATTGCCTCACTCTAGAAACCATTCCTCACTCGCCTACAGCTCGTGAGTAAGTATTTCTCTCAAGTGAGTCAATTGCTCCCTTTGCTCACTAGTTGCACAAATAACTAGTTACTCTCTTTGAATGTCAGCTGTTGAAATGAACTCAGCAATTTAAATCTGAGCAGTACAGTCAATTTTTGGTTCTGTCTTTCACAGCTTGTTACGTTCAAATATCTGTTACGTTCTGAACAGCTCTTGCTTGTCAAAAAATAAAGGCAATGCTTTAATATGCAATGTGTCATTTACACAAACCTTTACACCCATTTATAAATATGCCGCTGTTGTAAACTATGTTAATATTTGTACTTATGTGTTAGTTATTAATTTTAAAAATATATCTTTATGTTGTAAATCACAATATCTAGGGGACAGTTATTTATTACTTTCACTTTGTATATTTATTTAAATAACTTCTTGATCAGCATCGTACGTGTTGTTAAATTTGCGAATGTAGATTCGCCTATTGGGTCTGATGATGATTGGAGTGTCCAATCGAAATCGATCACCACTTACCATCTTTTTTATATTTACCGTCTTGTGAGTAACAGTATAAGCGTAAATATATGTTTTAAGTGTTATAAGACGTATCTTTATTTACTTTCCGTATATTTATTTCTCTAAGATTTATGTCATGACTTGGATTATTATAGATACATATTTATTGATGCATTATCTTGTGAAATTGTTCTTTGCAATAAAGGTATTGTTATTATAATTATCTTTATTCACAAATAAATTTGATGTTACTTAATGAAACAGTGTTTCTATTATGGATACCATTATCCTTTCATCAGATTGTTGTGTTCTGTGTGACACATAGAATCTCAAGAGAGGTTTGAGAGCTTCATTTCCAGGCGACTTGTCACGAGATAAAAACTATTGGAGTGATCTTATACAAAGAAGTTTTTTAGACCAAATATCACATAATATTAAGCGAACATTTGCCAGGTTGAGGGGTCTATGGATTTTGAAGTTTATATACAGAAGCAGTGAGTTTTATAAGCAAATGCGGGCTTTAGCCTTTTAATTTCTTTTTTTACTGTTGCCAAACTTCCTGGAAAGAGCATTTCAATAAAACTGCAGAAAAGAACAATCCAAAATATGATATTGAGGGTTGAGTAAGTAGCATAGCCAAGACTATGTAAGGGAGAGGGGGTGTGACAGGCCAGGAAGGTATGGTGACTAGTAATTGCAAAGTAGGAGTCAAAGGCGTACAATGAAGCTGAACAGGCAACCTGTAATCGTAAATGAATTTTCTACGCAATAGAGAAATTTAAATAAAGACTGATAAAATAGACACCGTAAAATAATTATTGAATTTGTTATTTTGAATCTTTGAACGGCTCCCTTTTTTTACTCACTTGTACATTTGAGTTCAGATTTGAGATATTGTATCCCACTAATAAAGGCCTTTTAATTTGATATGCATATCAAGCCATGCCTACAATTTATGATTTCCTTCTGACCTTTAGCGGGCGCCCAAAAATTGCAACAACAATAAATCTTTCAACGACTGCCATTTTTGACTCAGTTGCCCGTTTGAGTTCGGGTTTGCGGCATTGTATTTTACGAACAAAGATCTTTAATTTGATGTACATATCAAATCAATCAATCCTTACCTTAAACGTTTTCTTCTGAATCCTAGCGGGCCACCCCCTTGAGAAGGCAGCGTATCATTAAAAATGAATTAAAATGATTTTTGTATCCAGTGACTTTGTTCCAAGTTTTGTAGCAATATCTTTATTATTTGTTGAAATATTTTGCTACCTCCTGGACTTTTAAAGCGTTAAAGATAGCCAAAAAAATGACCATATTTAAGCTTCTGTAACCATTCACTACAAGTTATGAAGAGGACAATTCTTGTTTAGAATTTTTTGTAGATTATTTTTTTAAAGGAAGGATTTTTTCCTAAAATGCATAGTTTCTGAGATATTCAATAAAAACAAAAAAGTGCCATTTTCCAACTTTGACCTCTTCCCAAACCTGATGCTCAAATAGGGGTAACCTTTTTTTACCGAACATTATGTGGATTGTACTGAATAATTTGGAGTCAAAAGTGTGCTTTCACTTTGGATTTCTGGGTTAAGCCCTTTTTTTACTAATCACACCGTACTATCAGTGACAACAAGCATCTTAAAGAAAAATCAAGTAGTGTTTGTTAAGAGTTCAACTTCTCTTTCATTCATTTATCATAAGTAAGCTACATCCAACTCTCTTAATTTGTTTGATTTATACGACAAAAGAAATCAAAGAAATAATTCTTTTTGATTTGAGATATGCTGGAAATAACTTTTTAACTGAAAAACTTTTTAACAAGATTTCTCCAATATTCAACACTTCTTGTTGTAGATCCTTTTAAAGCAGGGGTTGCACATTTTTTGTAAAACAATACACACTAAAGTCTATTTTAAAATGATGAACAAGAGCTTTAAAAATTTAAAATTTAAGATTAAAAGAGTAATACATAAATACATACACAGTTTTCCTACCCAGCAGAATTTTAAATTTCTGTAAGATCAAATAAAACTTGGGATGTAATGGAACTTTTATCCTATATATGCAATTCATAAATTCTTGTGAAAAACTGTATTACACACAAGCAAAAACAAGTGTAGGATATAATGAATGGAAAACAAAATTAACAACATTAGCAACAACATATAAAAGTTTTATTTTTACATATATACGTTTTTACATATATATTTTTAACATGTATTATTTCCAGTCTTGTAATATATATATAATACAGTAAACTTATCCGGACACCTTTTCACCGGACTACATTCGACAGAAATGACATCTCTTTAACCGGACAATTTTTACCAGCACATTGGTTTAACCGTAGGAGATCGACAGAATGTGGGCGGTACTGAAACGACTGTTCTTGTGAGAAAGATTTGAGACCAGTGATTACATGTCTAAATACAATGCTCTCATAAATTTAAGTCAAATATCACAGTAAATAGTCCGTTTTAATGAGTTTTTGGGGACGTTGGCTTAACCGGAAAACCCGTTATCCGGACTGGCCTCGGTCCCGAGGAGTCCGGATAAGAGGGAGTCTACTGTATAATATCATTTTACAATACAAAATATAGTGTAACTGAAGTGAATAGAGAAAATTCAATCACAATTGTGTTATACAATTTTTACACAAAAAAAAAAAAACTAATAAAAGTAAGTGTTTGTTTCTTGTTTCAATTGAAAAAAAACCCACTAGTTGCCAACGCCTAGTTGTCATGTATATATCATAAGAATATTATTATCTAGTGATGTGTCAAAACCGAATCTCAAATTTCAAAACCATCAAAACTTTGGAAAAGTTTCTGTTTCGAGATTCAAAAGTTTCGAAATTGAAGATTTGGTATCTTTGTTTTTGAAACTACCGACATTTTTTGGTGTCATTATTGTTGTTTAAACACACAAGCTGGAAAAATGAATCAATTACCGTAAATTACATTCTGACCTAACAAAGGTACCTATCTTAAATACTAATAACTAGAATAGCGTACAATTAAGTTTTATACCCATATTTACTAAACACAAATAAATATTGACCACTAAATGTTCTAAATATCATTTTTATGTTTGGGGTCAGTAGTTTAATTTACTTTAATGTTTGATGTAGGTCAAAAATTATGTTTTTGTGTGTGTTTGAATTTAATCAATCACATATTTATGCTTTGTCAGGGCCAGGACTCAATTTCTTTCAGTTTTGATTGTATAATAAATATTTTATTATTACCCGTATTATTGTAGTAAAACTTTAACTAAAAAGGCTTAGTGTTTGGGTTTTGAGATTAGGGATTCAGGATTTGATTTATTGAGTTTCGGTTTTTGTTTTAGATTAGAAATTTCTGGTTTTGGCCATCACTATTACAATCATATATCTACATCGAATCATACATAGTAGTCTAGCAAGTTATATTACATTGTAGGCTTATTGGTAAGTTGGTAACACACTGTTTGTGGACCAATAAACTAATAAACACAATCACAAAATAACAGAATATGAAAAATGCCCTAAAAGTATTAGAATAAGCCAATAAGCTCAATCAACATATAACTACTACTCTTTACAGGCATATCGGTCATGATGAAAAATGTTCAGTTTATCCTTTTGGAACATAATTTCTACATACTACAATATATAATTTTCTTAGCTTAAACTTTTTTTCACCATCGAATGTTTCACACAGTCTTCATTCACTTCACCATTGTTTGTCACAGCACAGCACTGTTTTTCAATACTGTTGTTATTATATGGAGACACGTGTTCACTGCCTGCAGCTCTTGCTCGAGTGCTAAAGGCTCCATTTTACATCCCTGAGCATGTGATTTGTGATATCACCTGGTTGGATTAATAACCATCAGTACGTGGCAGATCACGGACGAATTATCGAAGTTGTTGGAGTCCATCGACATTATAGCGTAACCTGGAGTCTACACTACGATTTAGATGAAAGCACTGACTTATTCAAATACACTTTTTATACTGATTTAATACCAACTAATATTGAGAGATAACTTTGAATTTAAAAACACATTAAGGTATCTTACAAAGGTTACCTTATAGGTAAAGATTGATACTAGTCTAATGTAAACGTCAAGTACAACTGATGTAAGAGACTATTGTTTTTTCAACATGTCTTGGAAGTCTTTGTTTGAGAGAGGTTTACTCTGATGGCACGTGCCTGGCTGGGACTCATTGTGAACTAATTCCTCTTCTGACGGAGCTGGGGTGCTGCAAAAAATGCATTGAGTTTAAAAATTGCTCACATAATGTTCACAGTTTAGCATTGAACGAAAAACTGTCAATGTAACAAAATACACATTTTTGAGAAAAATCAATACTGTAATCAAATATTACTCACGTCTCAAACTAATACTTTGACCTTTAATGCTTGGAATTAGAAGTATTAAAATCATGAAAGCCTGGATCTCATAAATAATACATTGTACTTGATAACTATACATTTATTGACTCTATAACGACAATGATGGACATACAGTAGACCCTCAATAACAAGTTACCCTTGATAACAAGTCTTATTTTTTAATCCCTATAAGAGTCTTGTTATCAAGGTTGTACTGTACTACTCATTAGCATTGTAACAAGTGATGAAAACTGCATACTTCTGATTCAAATTCTCAAAAATTTACCTATATTATATAGAAAAAAATTTGGATGTGCAGACAAACCATTTATGGTATGCACTTTTGTAAACTATCCTCTTTCTAAAGCCATACTATAAACATTATCGAAACAATGGAGAGTATAGTTTGTCCCTTATGCGATGTAAAAGTAAATTCTAAGCATAAAGCTGTGTTTTGTGAAGGCCGGTGTTCTACGTGGTATCACAAGGACTGCATGGGAATGTTAGACATTCATTACGAAGAATTGACTAAAGATTCAGTTTCGGCTTGGGAATGCCCTGTTTGCCTAATCTTCCCCGCTACGGCTGATGTGTCATCTAAGTTAAAAGTCCCATCTGCTCCCGATTTAAACAGTACGCTAATCAGTGTACTTAATGAAGGAGCATCGACTCCAGATGTGATTCATCCAACTCCTCACTACAATTTCGACAAAACTTTAGATGATCTGAAGCTAGAACTTAGTCAGACAGATATAT